AGATTAATATCGATTTAAAAGGATATTAATTAAAAATCACTCTCAAAAATCCTGTTGTGTTTTTGATATAAGTAACCATAAAATAATAATAAAATTATTATTTTAAAGTTTACTTTTTCATAACAAATGAACTTGTATGCTGAGAAAAATAGAACGAGTAATGCTAAGAAAAATGGTAACATTTTACTCTCGACATTCATTTATTCTAAACTTTTCAAATACTTTTAACCGTACATAACGACATAATTGAAACATCGTTTCTTTTTATTGACATAATCGATTTATCACTCGTCTCAATATACCGCTTATTGCCTCAATGCACGTTGGCGAAACAAGTTTCTACAGCTAGTGAATCCGGATCACAAAGATGAGGCGGGACCCTTATTATCGTTACTAAGTTTTGCATCGCGTTACCTTCACGAGTCCCACTCAGCCCGAGTTACCAAGTGCACTTAATGAACGGCATTCGGCACCTTTTACGCCCACCGTTTATTTAATTTAAACGAATTAACAACTGTTTGTATTACTAACTATGTTTTGATTGGGACTTAATACGTGATAACAGTAAAACGAAAAGTTATAATGTAAGTAATATATTATTTTAAATATATTAGCCATTGTCATAGTGTGAAATATTCTTTGTTGTTTTTGTCGTCTCTTGACACGTCGCTGAGAAATGCAGGCAATCTACAATTTAGGTTACTTGAGAGCAAGTAGAGGAGCTTTTGTTTCGGTGGTTTACTTATTTTGGTGCAAGTTTTCTCCACTGCGTTTGCAAAGCCGTGAAGAATATAAAAAGAGTTAGGAGAAAAAAGTTTCAGATATGTTTTCAAGAATAATATTTTAGTATCAACTAATGCAAATTATATCATTTAGTAAGTCAGATTTTCTAATTGCTCTAAATATAATTTTACAATTATTTTTTAAAGGGAGTCAAATACTGTTTTTAAATTGATAATGGCCAAAAGAAAAAAAAAACTGCAATGTAAAGAAGGACGCTAATGTGACAGAAAAAATAAATAGAGAGTAAGCCAAAATATACGGTGAAATCCAATACAAAATTAAAAGTAGGTACTTTATATTGCAGATTTGATGAAAGAAGAAAATTATGGGCATCTGGGATTTTATTATTGATGCTATTTATATTTACTCTTATGTGATTTTAGACTGAAAGTGATAGAGTGCTTTGATCTTTTGACACAACCTAATAATATCACCAATCAGTCGGCATATCATTTTAAGTGTTTTAATAAACTGAAAATTATATATTTACATATCCAAAACACCTGGCATATCGAAATAAAGTCTCGTGCGTTGTAAGGTGTTAGGCACCTGTAATAATATAGGGTTCCAATTAACAGGTAATTTGATTATGTTTTAATGCTACAATCTTATTTTCTACCGACTTCAAAAAGGAGCCGGTAATCAATTCGACTATATGTTTTTTTTATGTGTATTACCTCGTATCTTTTTACTGGGTGAACCGATTTCGATGATTCTTTTTTTTATTTGAAAGTTGGTGCTTCACATGCGGTCCCATATAAATTTGATTAAGGTCGGACCAATAGCAATTGAGTTATTTTTAATAATTTATATTGAAGTCGGTTGTACATAATTTTTAATTTTTAATTATTAATTGCCATTAAAAGTGTGCAATAATAAACTATTACATTTTATTATTCTTGACAGCGGGACCGTAAAACAAATTTTGAACAATAGTAAAGTATTTATGGACCATAAGCACCGAGCTACGCAGCTTGTATATTCTAACCGTATTCAAAAAAGGACTAGGTTCTCAATTCGACTGTATTTTTATTATATATTACCTCAGAATTTTTTTCTAGATGAACCGATTTTGATGGTTTTTTTTTTTATTTAAAAGCTGATGCTTGTCATGTGGTCCCATATAAATTCGATCAAAATCTGAACAGTAGTTTTTGAGTTATCCTTAATAATGCTTATTTAATTGACTTCGACTACATTGATGATGTTCTCATTTTATTTATATTGAAGTCGGTTGCACAATTTTTTTAATTTTACCAATTGTATTAACGTATACCTACCATATGAACTTTACTGTCATATTAACTAGAAGTGGTTGGTTGAGGGTTTAAAGTTTTGTTTGCTATGAAACTATTGACTTACGGTCTGTCGCACGCAAATTGTGCGTGAACATCGCTTGTTTATCTTACTCTGTTAAGCAAACAACTAAGTAATAATGCATGATCATTTCCTCATACCTTCTAGTGCATGAGTTCAAGTATAATATTTCAAGAAATGACTAGTAGCAAGTTGTCGTTTTAAAATAGTGTAAAATATTTGGTATTGTGTCATACATATCTTCACGTGGTAGAGCCAAGCTGCAGCTATTTTAATAGTATAGTTGTAGCACGAATGGGATGGCTCGACCGGGGAAGGACCACGCTCTCACAGAATACTAGCGTAAAATGGCAGCTTAATGTTGCTGTGCTTTGTATGGTGAATGTAAAGAACCGAAGACCCTTTATACTGGAAACGAGGCATTGCATCTTGTCCTCACAGGTGACAACGCATCTGCATTTTGATTCGTAATCGAGGATAGATGTCTATGGGCTACAGCAACCACTTATCATCAGGTGAACTGTGTGCTCGTTTGTAATCTTATCCTATAAAAAACATCTTGCTGATTACAATTCAAAACAACAAAAACTGCGATTACCAAACTACCTGCCACCCGTTTACGACTATGGCAAATATCCCGACTATGGGGGCAATCTATGGGTCAGATCTATGTTCAGCAGTGGCCTTTGTCTAATTTTATCGTAGTCAACGTTTTTTGGTAATAACTCTCTACGATTTTGCGTACAATCACAATGTCCGATGATATTACGAATATGTGCATTATCAAGTTAAAAGCGATGGAGGCAAGTTTAAATTATAATAAAATATTGTATGTGCACTGAAGTAAACGTACGTTAATATTACTTCAATGTGTTAACAAAGTGGTAGTACGCCATTTATGCCAAAAGTCCGCCGGGGTTCGTATCATGCTCTTACCATTTTATACCACTAACCACTAAGTAATAATTAACAATTTTGTACAACCGATTTCAATATAAATTGTAAAGAATAACTCAAAAACTATTGGTCAGACCTTGACCAAATTTATATGGGATAACATTTGAAGCAGCAACTTTTAAATAAAACAAGAATCATCGAAATCGATTCATCCAGAAAAAAGTTATGAGGTAACACGCATAAAAAACATACAGTTGAATTGAGTACCTCCTCCTGTTTGAAGTCGGTAGAAAATGCTTGCAATGTTCCGGTTGGAAGTTTATATAGAGCTCATAATTACAGGCTGTAAGGCATTCCATCTTAGTCCTCAGAGATGACAAGGTATCTCTAGTTTTCTTTGTTTGTACTTACGGATTGGCGGGAAGGATGGTTGGTTCATGGGATGCAGTAGCCATTTACCATCAGGTGACCTTTTTTATAGAAGGGGGGACAAATGAGCATGCGGATCACCTGATGGTAAGAAGATGTAAATCGCCGCCCATGAACAACTGCAACACCAGGGGAATCGCAGGTGCGTTGCCGGCCTTTTTAAAAAGTGTAGGCTCTTTTCTTGAAGGTTCTAAGTGGTATCGGTCCGGGAGAATCACTGATGGTAGAAGAATCCACAAGGAAGTTGGGCGAGGAACAAAACTTCTTGTAAATTGCATAGTGGTGGACCACCAATCGTCCAGATGGTATGGACTGTTAGTTCGTTTGTCACTTTAATATTATTTAAAAATATATAAATCAACTTCGTACCAAAACCACTATCAACTTCAAGAAATGGAAGATAACTCGATGTAAACCAATATTAATGTGAAAAAAAATATATTAAAATAATCGCTCATGACTCGCGCCAAATAATTTGGCTCCGCGCCAACGAAACTGTCCCCCGCGGGTCGCGCTGCATTGTGCGGACACAATTTATAGAGCGCCGATAATTCCCTGGATCCGACGACTTTTCGAGTTCACGCGATATAGTACTTTAACATGCACATCAATAAGGTATATCAACGTTAATCCTACTGGATTGTTATGCATAATTCAAAACACACGATGAAAGTAATAATCGTATATATCTGTCTATAACCAAATGTTAAATAAAATTGGTTTTAATTACTAAATAATGAGGGTGATGGTCGATTTTATATTAAGAACATAATGAGTCATAATTAGTGAGGAAGCTCACTATACTATACGATTGGGCTATACGAAATTAGTTGTTGATGTTCTATGGTTTCGTTCTTTTTAATAAGTAATAATATTCTTATTTTAAAATACTCATTTATAACCAACAACCTTACTCAAAAAACCAGATTACAATAGTAATTGCACTTTTACTTAACACCAGAATCAGGTGTTAAGTAAAAATGCGCCATTTTCCATAGGAGGTTAATGGCGGGAAAATGGCGCATTAGGTAACAATCGAAATTGTGCCAGTTGGTCCTAATTTTAGAATAATAGACAAATGTAAAATAACAGTATTTAGCAAAACATTTTGCGAAATAAAAGATTCAATAATTGAATACCTATGCCATTTATTTGTAGCTTGTGTACGTTTGATATTTTATAATTATTTTAGAATTTTTCTTTAAAATGGCGCCCAGGGCACGTACGCTACTTATTGCAACCCATTCCCACTGTTGTGTTAATCCTACTGAGAGGATTAACACCTTTGTACTAGACGACTACAACTCTAACGCAGATAAAGAGCCTTTCGACATTAAAAAGGCATACATGCCATCAACATCATCAGAGCCCCTCACGAGTCCACTACTGAACATTGATCTCCAAGGAACGATTTGCATCTATTGACTTTCCACTTACCTTGAACATACGTTAAGTGCTTGTAATAAGGAGTATGATATGAAAGAAAACCATCACTAAAGTCGATTTGTATTCTCGGCTTACTGGGAGACTCTTTGATAAGAAAAAAAAATTTACATAATTTTCTTTATTTACAGGTGACATTGAAGACTGTATCGTAACGCCAGCTTACCAAGGGCAATTCACACCGTTGCCGGAGGCGCTATGCGACTGCATAATGGACCTCACTTCGCAGGTACGACTGTGCATTAATTAAAAAAAAATACATTTAAAAAGAACCTCATGAAACATTCAAATAATATGTCTCCCAAAATATACCTCGAGATATCGAAAATCTTCAATACATTGATTTAATTTGTCTAATTTTGCAGCAACATGTCATTACCACGTTAAAATAAATTTCCGGTGTTTTGAGAGAGAGTTGAACTTTAAAAAATAGCTCAGAATAAGATGACAAAGTAAAAATAAACACAATAAAGAAAAAAAAACGCGATGTAATAAAAAAATTACATAATTTTTAAAATTTTCACTTGTTTATGGTTACCGTTTGCTTATTTTTTCTTCTTTATAACTTTACAACCTTCATTGAAACGTACTTCCATTTGGCGTTGTTTCTGCGTAACTTTTACAAGTAAAAACAAAAGGCAGCTGTACGAGTACATTTGCTGGTCATATATGAACGTTATCTTGATATAGTATGACAGGAAGTGAAATGAACATTATACGGAACTTTCTTATATTGGGTAACATTTATAAAGTAAAAGAAATTATTATTTTTTACTGTTGGTAATAAAATACAGGTGCATTGATATGAAAGAAATGGATTTAATTTTTTTTTTTTACATTTCAATTACTATTAACCGACGAGTATATAACTACGCATATATGTGCTTGCCAAATAGAAGATCGCAGTATTTGCACATCCCTCAGGATAACAGGCGTAATAGTTACTGTAGGTATATTAAGAATGTAAATCATATCAGATATTGTCTACTGGGTGTCCTAAGCGACGATAGAGAAAACATGAAAGGGAATACGGCCAGTAGTATCTCTCCGATATCAGCTCAATATAATAATTAAATTAGGAAATTATAATTTTGTTAATTTTGCGGAGTTCTTTTCACGATTTACGGGGAGTTTTTTCGCAATTTATGAGGAGTTTTTTTTTTTTTACAATCTATGGGGAGTTTTTTACCCATTAGTAGACTTTGATAGGCTTTTATGAATGATAAATTAATAAAATATTTCGAAAACGTGTAAGCACTATTTATAGAAGTGCGGTGGACTCTTTTCTGCTCCAAAATTTTACATTAAAATTTGATTAAATTTCATACAAATTATACAAATTTATTCTTTATATAAATGAATACTACAACGAAAAGATTCCGCATTCGAAAGATATTTAACGTAGTAGAGACACGCTGCAGCTGTATTAGGGTTGCACCACAAACGGGTCGACTCAACTGAAGAACGATGGCTCACTGATACAAACATAAAATAGAAGCATATCGCTGCTTGTTTTGTTGTTTTGTGTGTAAGAGATAGATGAGAACTAAAGATCCTTTTATAGGCATCAGATCAGATCAGATTCAGGGGTAACACATTTGAATTTAGATTTCTAATCAATGATTGAATCAAATAGTAGTCTACAGGTCACAGCGTCTACTTTCTATTTCATAGTGGTCAACTGTGTGCTCGTTACACATTATATAACATTATAAAAACTACCATTTAAATTAGTTTTTTTCACTAATTACAATTCGGACAATGGTTTCTATCCAAATCTATACAAAAAAAACCGTCCATGTTGTTTCTTCATAGCTGTCTACTGCTATGAATAAATTCTTCTTTCAAAAATAATTTAACAACCCTAGCGAAATATTGTCCAATAAAGTTCATTCAGCGTTTCCGTCACGGAAATATCTTTCAGTTTTATTCCTATGTCCTTAATATAAAAACTAAATAAATAAGAGTTAATGCCGCGTTGGCAGACTGCCATCGCTCGACAGTTTAAAAATACGGAAGGACTTTGGTAATTTTTCATGGACTGTCCATAGGGAATTTTTAACGTAATTAATGAGGTGTTTTTGAGTAGAACGATTGCGGTTACTATACATTTTTTACACACAACACATTTCGCGGTCAGGGAATCTGTTAAGTAGCTATTGAAGTCGAGATGACCGAATAGGTCCGTACCGTGTGAAATGTTCTTTATAGGCGTTAATTTGCAAATCGTAAAAATAACAGTGTACAATTTGCGCTTTACTAGTTTTGACTAATAACAACTACAGTGACAACTTACTAATATTATCAATCGTCTTGAACACATTATGTAATTCTAGTAAGAATAGGTCGACTCGACCGGGGAAGGACCACGCTCTCACAGAATACCAGCGTAAAATAGCTGCTTTAAGCTGCAGTGTTTCGCATGGTGAGTGTAGAGAACGGGAGACCCTTTTTACAGGAAACGAGACATTCCAACTTAGTCATCACGGGTGACAATGTATCTGCATTTTGATTCGTAATCGAGTATAAATGTAGATGTCTATGGGCCACAGCAACCACTTACCATCAGGTGGACTGTGTGCTCGTTTGTCACCCTTATTTTATAAAAAATATTCGTGACGCATTGAGATTAAATTCCTATTACTAAGGATATCGAGTTACGAGAATTTTATAATACTAAGCTATCCATCAAACATTGAATGTGAAGTTCACCCGTCTCAATAAATTATAAATACCTATATCATAATTATTTCAGTTTTAGGTAACAGTGAAAATAAGATTTTACAGTATTTATGTATGTAAAAAACACAATAATTTATTTATATATTTTTAATTAAGGAATTTAATTCGAAAATATAATTTTTTTGGTTGGAACGAAGTATTACATACAAATAAATGTATTATTAGCGTCTATTAAAATGAAGCGTCATTTAAAATAAAATACACTATGACACAAGGGTTAGTGACGAAAAAATCTTACACTTTTTGTCGCCTAGCTCCCATCCGCCAAATCCGTACCGTCCGATAAGGAACTTCGTTCCAAACATTATGCCATTTTAACCCATGTATAACTTCTGACCACCACGCTGTTGCCAGCCATATGGTGGTGCCGTAAGAAAATTAACTGCATGAGGTAGTGAGTGGCTTCTCTGTTGAATTCGTCCTATAGATGTCGAAGGGCGACAAAGGGCAACGGAAACAGGGTATAGGCAGCAACTTTCTGATTACAACTCCAAATAATTTAAAAAAAAACTGCGGTTACCAATCCGGCTGCCAAGCGCGGCCTCTATGGCAATTATTCCTCATATAAGACAATCAAATAAGGGAAATCTATGTTCAGTAGTGGCCATTTGGTAGGCTGTAATGATGATAATATTACGTCGTTACGTACGTTACGTTACGCGCATCCAACTTTTTGCGTAGACCAATGATATAAACGTCAAGTTAAAGAAAGACCCTTATTACCTAATTACTTATAATTTAAAATTAAAAAATTTTGTACAGCCGACTTCAATATAAGTTATTAAGAATAACTCAAAAACTATTGATCTGACCTTGATCAAATTCATATGGAACCACACGAGAAGTACCAGCTTCCAAATAAAAAAAGAATCATCGAAATCAGTTCACCCAGTAAAAAGTTATGAGGTAACACACATAAAAAAACATACGGTCGAATTGAGCACCGTCTCCTTTTTGGAATTCGGCAGAAAATTAATAAAAGATCAGTAAATCTCACGAGCGGGAAGAGATATTTTTCTTAACAAATGAAACAATCGCGAACAGTATCAAACAGCAATGATCAAGCAATGTTAACGAGCTCGCAGTACGCTTTCGCCGCAATCAAAAATTTTCGGAATGGCATTGTCATTTCTATAATAAAGCGGATATTTAGAAAGCATAGAAATATGTGCGCTATTTTATTTTCGTAATTAAATTAAAAGAAAATCAGTTTGATGTTTTAATTCACAAAACTAAACCATGGCAGTTATTGATTCAAATTGGAAATATATTTTTGTCAATTTATACTTGCGATGGTTATCACTTGGTGCAACTTCATCTTCATTTTTGTAATTTGAATACATACATGTACTTGTTTCTTTTAGTGAAACAGTGTAGTTTATATATTAGTAAAACAAGTTAACGTTTTTATACGTGGCAGAGCCACGTTGCAGCTATATTAGTAGTATAGTTGTAGCACGAATGGGTCGGCTCGACCGGGGAAGGACCACGCTCTCACAGAATACCAGCGTAAAATAGCAGCTTGACACTGCTGTGTTTCGTATGGTGATAGTAGTGAACCGGAGACCCATTTTACTGGAAAAGAGGCATTCCATCTTGGTCCTCACGGGTGACGACGCATCTGCGTTTTGATTCTTTATTGAGGATGGATGTAGATGTCTATGGGCCACAGCAACCACTTACCATCAGGTGGACTGTGTGCTCGTTTGTCACCCAATCCCCAAGTCACAAAAATGTAAATTATATTTCCTTACAACTTTAAATTAAGACTTGACTATAGAACTTGTTTCAATCAGTTGATCAAATTATTTACGCAGGTGGTGCCGTAAGGATTAAAACATCCAATTTAATTAAAAAATAAATACAGAATTACAGTGAAACAAGTTCTATAGTCAAGTCTTAATTTAAAGTTGAAAGGAAATATAATTTACATTTTTGTGACTTGGGGATTGGGTGACAAACGAGCACACAGTCCACCTGATGGTAAGTGGTTGCTGTGGCCCATAGACATCTACATCTATCCTCGTTTGTGAATCAAAATGCAGATGCGTTGTCACCCGTGAGGATTAAGATGGAATGCCTCTTTTCTAGTAAAAAGGGTCTCTGTTTCTCTACTCTCACATGGTGACGAGACACAGCAAGCTGTTGTTAAGCTGCTATTTTACGCTGGTATTCTGCGAAAGCGTGGTCCTTCCCTGGTCGAGCCGACCCATTCCTGCTACAACTGTACTACTAATATAGCTGCAGCATGGCTCTACCGCATATAATACATCTTTCTTTTTTTTCATAAAATCGTTACACTAGGAGTTTCATCTGAATAACCACGATGACAGGCTTCTCGCATACGAAACTATGTAATACCCACAGAACAAAACGGGGTAGTTGATTCTCACACGCCACAGTTACACAACAGAACATTACATATAAGTACTTGTAGTATACTTAGTTTGTGATGTCGTATTAATTTAAAAATATATTATTACTGTT